TATTTAGAGGATTTTATCATTTTTTATAAACCAATAGAAAACCTCCAACAGAAAATATTTGAAAACAATGAAAATATCAATGATATCAACAGTCAATAGAAGACACTAAAAAAGCTATCTTGAGGACTTTAATTTATTAAAATATTAATATTCAGTCTCATTGTGTTGTACCAATAAAAAAACTAGTGTAAGAATTATACTAGATTTTATTTTAAAAAAATATTTGTCCTGTTCTTTTCACAAGATATCTAATAATATGATAACAGAATTAGAATATAACTATAATTTATTATAATAAAACTCATTATAATAAAATCATTCTTCAAATTCCAATATTTCGTAAAAATCTCCCATCCTAACAGCAACTCCTTTTTCAGATTTAATTTCTTTAGGCATATCTGAATTGTCGGCTTGAAATGAATCTTCGCCTTTAAGTATTTTAATCCTCTCCTCTATTTGGAACTTTGAATACTCAGCTTTTTCGATATCATCCTCTTTTGTTCTCTTCTCTTCCTCAAGTCTTTTTATAGTGTCATCAGCAGTTTGTAGCATTACTATGGAATCAGGATGAGCAATTCGTTTTCACATAATATTCTCCAGTGTGCACTATTCTGCCTTTCATGTAGATATTTTTACCTAACGGAATAACTGCTTCGTGCTCGGGATAAGTTTTAAGTGTTTGTAAATTAGTTATTAAAGAGTCTATGGTTTCTTGTTCCTTGGTTAAGGTCTGGATTGTTTTATCAAATTTACTTATGTCTTCTCCTAAATGTTGGAGGAACGTGTCTCGTTCTTTAAGTATATCTGATGAATTTTTGGCCATTTTTAATCATACATTTTTTTGTTACAAAGGTATAATAAACAATATTAATCAAAATGCTTGTATCTGATCATAACAATCACACACAAGTTATAAGTTAGGTTATGTTATGACTTTCAATTTCAAATAATAAACATCGTAGCCTGCAGCATATGCAACACATTATACATAATAATTTCCTCATTTATTTTTTTTCTTAGACAATACAATAAAAAGTAAAAAATTTCTATTTTTATATCAATTTGTTTTTCAGTTTTTTTATAACTAAAACATCAGTGGTGCCCAGTAGCTCAATTGATAGAAATATTGGTGACACTATGATTAACTCCTGTCGAAATGAAATAACAACCTACAGTTAAATTAAATTCATAACTAAATATTGCGTTTCACTTCTACTTCAGTTCTATTTAAAATTTGAGTATTATTCTGGAATGGTAAATAAAAGTTATCATTTGCTTATATTTTATATGGTTGCTAAATCAACACTCGATATTTTATTACCCCTACCAGTAAACTTTTAAAAAAATTCTAGCTTGCGCATTCACCAAATTATTGACAGATTTCAAAACTTTAAATTCGAAATTATTGAAATCGTATTCGATTATTCGTATAGTCTGGGAAATATCCGAGAGAATTTTGCTGCGATGAAGTTGCTTAAATTTAGGGGCAGCATTAAGAGTTTTTCTCACTTTTTTCTTTGCTATCTTCAAACCTCTTGCAATAAAATTAAATATCAATACCTCAGGTAATAAAATATCAATTTTTGATTTAGAAAAGATTCATAATTATAATAAAATAGTCTAATAATACCTTTTATTTTCCATTCTAGGATAACAATCCATGTTAAAAAGTAAAATATCGCCAGCCATTGTGGGTCGTAGGTTGTTCTTTGAGTTTCCACCATTCTGATATATTCCTTGCTTTATTTTTCCAGTTGAAAACCTTTAGAGTTTTCAGATTTTGTTTCATATTTCAAAGTTTCGGTCTTCATTTCAACTTCTGTCGACTGGCATCTGCTTTTTTATCTTTATTGGTATTTTATTTATCTGCATTCTTTCGACATGTCCTACCCAATGCAAACGTCCATCTTTTCAAGGTTCTTTGTATGTGATGTATGATTCAAAATTATACAAATAGTAGACCAAAATGTTCCCTTCATCGCTTAATACAACTTTCCTTGTCGTTAAGAGCTTTCTACTTACATTTCGATATTAATTCGTCGTTGCCTTGAATTATTTTATGTTGGTGTTAACTTTCTTATAAAATGAATCATATTTCTCATTATTTAGATATATATGTGTGTTACTCTATTTACAGCGCTTTTTTATTTACATTTCCAGTGAGAACCATTGAAGGAATGTTCACCAAGCATTGAAATCCCGTACTTTTTTTTATTAGAGAAAGAAGTTTTGAAGAATTTGAAAGGACATTAAGAAGATATTTTTGCCTTTAATAGATACCACAAGGTCGTCAGCGTATAAACAGGCTTGTAAGGGTTCTTAAATCATTTATTGCCACTGGAAATAATGTTGAACTGAGCACGGATCCTTGAGGTGTACCATTTTCCAAACGATAAATATTTGAAAAAATATTTATTTTCACTTGAAAGATCAGATGTTTAAAAAGTTTTGGATGAAGACAAGGCAGTGACCTTGTCTTCCAGTTATGAATTTATCTCAAAATGTACTTCAAATCCCTTACTATTAACTCTAGAACAACAACGTGGCGTCATCGATGACCGGTGAAAAATGTATTCGCTGATGTGTTGCCAATGTCCGGATAATTATCCGATTTTCGGATCTGTGATCCTCCTCTCCTGCTGGATCTTGGATTCCGAAGTCACTCACACTGAGCCATAAAGCCGTCATTCTCCTTTAAAGAGAGTAGAATTTGACAGGGATTCGTGGAAAATATGAAATAAAATAAAAAAAATATTGAACTGAATTTTTATTTCTTATTGTACTGTATAAAAACTGCGACTGACGGAATATCAATATTATTGTTAACAGGATGTGTGTAAATAACCTAATCAACGTTTAGTTTAATCAGTTCTTTCTTTAGTATACCATCTACCATATTTACTTAAAAACGATAATTGACAAGAAATAAAAACTTCACTCAAAATAGGATAACAGGAATGGTTGATTCAAAATACCTATATACAAGTTTAACAAAATAAATAATACGTTGGATAAATTTATGCGAGGTGTTCACAAAAAAAGAACTGCTAATTCATATCAACTGTTCCAATAATATCTCTCCCATTCCACTAAATTGTATTCCTGGAGATATTGGACATAAACTTACTTCCAAATGGTACAGTTGTCTTTTTCTAAGAGTATTTGTGGACACCTCGTATATTAAAATGATTGAAAGGTTCGTTGGAATATTTATTTTAATAAAAACAAAAGTATATGCTACTTTTGTACTTTTCTTTTGATATTGCTTCTTTTTAAAGCACTTTCGAACACAAAATCAAAAAAAGAACGTCTGGACGATGTGTTCACCTTTAAATTTTACTATAATCACGTAAATTAAAAAAAAATGAGAGAATAACAAAAACAATCATCAAAAAGGCTAAATTTATAACATCTTATCGATGCAAAATGTATTAAAAATGATTATTTAGCGCGAATCAATTAGACTAGAATTTATTCATTTATCATGACGTCGATTTTTATTTAGGCAGTGGCTATTATTTTCTTGATTACAAAAGAAATGTCGTTGGTTTGTTTTAGAACATTTTTAGTCGATTATTTACATGCGATATACAAACAACTATTACAAAGGTATTAAAGACCATAGATCTGTGACAGATATCTAACCGCTTAAAATATTTTTGACACAGGAAATGAGAGTTGACGTCATAGTAGCCATTTTTAGAGAATGGGGTTTTGTTAAAATACATACGAATCTGAAAAATATAATATAAATATATAAAAGAGTAAGAAAAGCATTAAGAATATGATAGTATTTGATTAAACAAGGAATAATTGGGGTTTCTAGCATATTTAGACGATTATTGTTAAGCAAGATGTAAATATTTATTAAAAAGAAAAAACTACTATCATAGATTTTTTGTGATAGATATTTAAACGCCTCAAATATCTATTTGACATATGAGATGACATGACAGCTGACTTATGACGTCATGGTAGTCATCGTTTCCCATTCACATTGGAAAATATAAGGTTTTATATCAATACCAAAAATATTAAGATATAAACACATAAAAAATTATGACAATCATTAAGAACATGATAATATTTGATTTAAAAAGGAATCATTTTGGTCTTTTTTTTAAATATAAGTCGATTATTTGCAAGTGATATGCAAATAATCGATAAAATATATATTAAAAAGAAAAATGCGAAGATTATAGATATGTGATAGATATTTAAACGTTTCAAATATCTATTTGACAGATGACATGCATTGACAGCTGGCTTGTGACGTCATAGTAGCCATCTTTAAAGAGAGTGGGCCTGTTTCCATAGCAAAATGATCTGAAAATGAAAATTTACGTGGAAAACATACGTTTTTATAGCAATAAGAAAAATATTAAGATATAAACACATAAAAGAGTACTAAAATCATTAAGAACATGATAGTATTTGATTAAAAAGGGATCATTTTGGATTTTTTAACATATTTAGTCCATTATTTCCATGTAATATGTAAATATTTATTCAAAAGAAACAAAAAAAATCGTAGATCTGTGATTGATATTTAAACGTTTCAAATATATAATTAAAATATGAGATGGCATAACAGTTGACTTATGACGTCATAGTAGCCAATAATAGGGCCGAGATCTGTCACAATACCTACAGGATTTGAAAAGGAGAATTTACATGGACAATATCACTTTTTATGGATATTACAAAAGTATTGGGATATAAAGACATGATGGAATAATTAAAGCTCAAAGAATTTTATTGTAACTATTACAAAAGTAATAATTTTGGTTTGCTTCATTTTTAATGGATTATTCACATAAAATATTTATTAAAAAGAAAAAAACGTTGTGATAAATATTTAAACTTCTCAAAAAGATCTGAATGATCTGAAAAGGAACATTTATAACTAAAATGTAGTTATTTTATACAAATAACAAAAATATTAAGATATAAACATGTAAACAATTAAATAAAGCGATAAAAATAGGATTATGTATAAAATAGTAAGAAACTGATAAAGAATACGATTGTAAAGACGTTCTTCAATTAAAGATGAAAAAGCAAAACAATAAATTAGAAAAATCGGAAAAAATAGTGAAAAAACGAAAACAAACGACATTTTGTAGAAAATAAATCAAAATGGCCTGATTATTAACAAAACAATGATTTTAAAATAAAAATAGTTTTATTTTGTATGTATGTGACATAAAACATCAAATAAAAACACAGTAAACTTGTGATGTTATTAAAAAAGGAAGGAAGATGAAAAGTCGGCGTGAAAAAGACTAAAGACTAGCAAAGTGGTAAATAAAAAGGAAACAAAAATAGCAAACCAATCCATTGGATATATTTTACAGTTTTTCTATATACAGAGTGATTAAAAGTAAAAGAATATGAAGTGAAAACAACTGTATATATTTAATTGGTGGGTTTTAAAGTCCAACTATGAAATTTTTGTTGTTATTATTAAAATCTTGAGGATATAAAAATTATCACTGATAATATAAACTATTTTTCATTCACGCAAACATTTTTTAATACATCTTGCATCTTCTAGAAAAATTATGTACACTAGGAACTTGTCTATCAAAAATTTGCCTAATCTTTGCTAGCTTTGGTATTTTTCTTCTTGTTTATCCGCTTATGGTACGACTGTGCGAACGAGTTAACTATAGAAATAACAAAGTACAGCACCATGGCGATGACAAACTTTTCGAAAATAGACCCTAAAATGTTTCCACCGTCCGTAGTGGCTTGCGGGGCGTTTTTGTGTAACTTCTGCTTTTGGCCGTTCAGGAACGCCTTAAAGGGTACTTGGAGCTTTTCGCCGATGACGGGAACTAGTTTTAACCAGTCTAAGGCAGTGTCTATTAGTGTTTCGTTGAAAGCGATGATGACGAACATTTTCTGGAGGTGCATTTTGATGATGGCCTTTCCTATTAGGGTGGCCCCGAAGAAGGTCCAGAAGGGTACTAGGAAATGGCCGCAGGTGATGCCCGCCAAATCGAACAATGGGTTTGGAATCTGAAAATACAATAATACATCGTTACTTTTTTCGTTATTTCAAAATATACTCAAGGCCAGTGGCGGCTCCTGGTAATTTAAAAAGGATGTTCAATTGAATCGTCAATCATCATTGATAAATATGACAGTTGACAGGTTTCTGAAATAAACGATTCAATTAAGGAATGTAATTATAGAAACGATGAACTTTAAAATAATATAAAAATGTCTGGGTGTTTTTGTGTTCAATTTATTGAGTATAGTCTGGGTTCACTTTGAATTCCGTAGTTGGCACGTGCATCCAGCGGCGTAGTGCAAATAAATATGATTAATTAATAAATAAAGTTATATTTTAATGATACTATGATATTTATGAGATTTTAAAAAAATATTTTACTGATACTATAATATTTGAAGATTAAAAAAAACTGTATTTTAATGAAATTTTATTGGGTGTACTCTAAACAAGTGAACTAATGGAGAAACCCATCCCCTGCTCAAAACACTTATACACAGAAACTAAATATCTAAAACTATTTACATTTAAGATGATAATTCCTTTTAATTTACTTACACTGGCACAAGCCAAAATTCCTAAGAAGCCAACCTTTTGTACAATCTCTTCTACGAACAACTTTCCTTTCTCCACCAACGTCAATTCGTTCCTGTGATTTTTCTTTTTCTTTTCTAGTTCTTCGAAAGCTTTAAGGTCTTCGTCTTCATCGTCTGGATCAATACTAAAATAAAGATAAGTTAATTGATTTGCTGCTCCTTCAAATAGATTATAAAATAGCTTTTTTAAGTAAACAATTCTTAACAAATTGTAACGATTTAGTGCATTGTTAATACAGTTTTACAGAAGCTCTCTATCTCTCTCTCTCTCTTTCTCTAACGCCATCTGTCTTCGTTTCCTGTCGATTAGAGGTGAGTCTCTATGACCATGAGAAATTGGTGAAATCACTAATATTTTGTTTCAAATTTAAGGTAACGATTTAACTGACATTCTGTCATTCTAGGGTCTGGGAAGAGAAAATTCGCCGGAATGGTTGCCGATCTTTGACAGAGAAGGCACTCGAAGAAGAAGATTCTAGGGTGTATTATTGTCAAATTTTAGGTTTGTTAGGTTACTAAAAGGGTAATAATTAATAATTAATACACTGAGGGAAAAATGTAAAACATTTACTCTCAGCCAATAGTAGAATAGGGTCCATTTCTACACGCTGAAAACGAAGTAACAATCAAAGGAATGTATAATAATGTTGGATAATCATATAATGTTTATTAGATTGCTTCTATCAGGAGTTCCATATAGTGGAACTCTAGGGGTAGTTTACCCCCTGCATGGGATTGATTAACTCGAACTCATAATTACTGGATACTCATAATTACTTTATTGGTTCTGTAAGTACAATAATCGAGAGAGTACCCAGTTGACGGATGATAACACTAGCTTCGACTGTTAACCCTTAATTCTTAATGGTCTACTCCCGTTATTTTCCAGGTATTTAAACTCATGTGCGTTTTATATATGCATTCATGTTTTACTAATATAATTTGTACACAATATTAAATAAGCTTTTGATTACATTGCAAATATCACTAGGTCAGCGTCTCGGTAAGCATGTTCTCGTTATAGCGATATTTTGAAAGTCATAAAAAAACATTGAGCCATAAGCAATGATTAATATTATTAAAAGGATTTTAAATTGTTAAACTGAATTCGGTTACTTGGATTTGATTTCTGGATGCTTAATTAAATCCCGTTATAAATGGACAAAAATGAACCGAATAAGACCAAGAGCATCTTGGTTGGTAATGGCGACTTTTTAAAGATGCACTAGGTATTTTTTGCACTTAGTATAATAGGGTACAGCAATAACTGACGTGTATTATATAGTTCTATTGGACTGTTTTGACGCCGATTTTGGGGAAAATTCCTGCGTTTGTTTTAGAAAAACTTGTCAACGTAACCGCTATAAAGCGGATGTTTTTCAGACCAAATTACATGAATTCGGAGAATTGATCTAGCATCCACAGTACTCACCAGATTTAATTACCTGTGAATATTTCCTGCTCCAAAACTTAAAATAGTTTTGGTTTAGAGCTGTGGTGACCTTAATGCTGATATTTATTCTCGTTTTATATATTACTAAACGACTTTTGATACTATGCAGCATGAACAGTTTTTGGAAGTTTAGAGAAGGAAGAACTGGACAAATGAGACGTACGAATGACTGCTAATTTATATTAAAACCAGGTCATGTTCGTTCAATTTGATAAAAAGTACGGCAAATGAAATACGTATTATATTAAAAGAAGTTGCACAATAGTACATTGTTTACCGGATAGGAAAAGCTTAACATTCCTGGACGACTGTGTCCAGTTGTCTCGGCTTGCGCCTCGACTTAGCAACACAGAGTCCAGGAATGTGGCTTTTCCTAAGAGGTAAACATACTATTTTTCCGCAAATCGTTTAAAATTCGACAAATATTGATTGATTTAAAAAAAAAACGCGATAATTTTATTCCCAAATAAATGGTGCTTTGAAATTCCTAATAAAATTACTTGGGTTACTATGGAAACGTATTGAGGTTGAATTGTCAAACTTGACGCTTATAAATTTAATTGCTGGTGTTCTCGAAAGTAAAATGATAAAATGTTCTCTGGTGCCGACATAACTAGTTTAAAGAGGCATGGCGGATGGAAGTCATCAAACGTTGCTGAAGGATATATCGAAGAATCGCTTAACAATAAGGTTGAGGTGGCAAATAAAATTTTCACAGTAAAAAATATTCGACAAAATGACACTTCCACCCTGCATGTTGTCCAAAATGTTTCTCATAGTTCTAAGAGTGTTCCTCCAATGTTCATTAATTGTACTGTCAAATTACTGTAAATATAACAAATTGATCTTAAAAATGTATTCAGCAATGACTTGATGTTTTCAAAATATAATTACTTCCTTATAAGCAATGTGTTTTCTATCATTTATGTAGAACACTAACAACTGTACGGAAATATCATTTCCTTACAGTAAGGAAATGACATTTCCTTACAGTAAGGAAGTCCTGACTTTTTCTTCAAGAAATTTTGACAGGAATGTCAAAATTTCCTGGCGATTTGCGGAAAAAATACTTGTTTTAAAAGTTTCGCAATGATAAAAAATAAAAATATATTAATATATCACATATCTTCTGTTCCTGTCTTTCTAACAATTTAATCTGTACAAAAAAAAAACCGTAGAAATATTTTTTCCTGGGTAATAAAAGAAAATATGTTAATATATTATATCTGACTAATCATTTATTTAAAAAACTACACTTACCCAGATAGTCTTGCAGCTCTAGCCATAAAATATGGCGGTAGTTCCCCCAACGCCGTACCGGCACCCCAACACATAGCTTCCAGTCTAACTTTAGACATTATACTAAGAAACGATATTACGCCAACTTTCCCGTCGGTAGGGCAGACTATCCTAAAAAAATATATATTTTTGGAGAACAGAAATCATTAAAAATATTCTTACATATAGTGTGATATAGGCAACTAATAGAATGCGATCTTGAAAGTGTTCTCAGTTTTGGATTTTGGTTGTCTTGAATATTTTTCAGCTCAGAAATTACTCATGTTAGTTTATGTCTCTTTATTACAAATTTTTCGTTTGAGAAGCAGTTGCAATATTTGCATAACCGACGTTTTTACATAAAGACTTTTTTCTGCATTTAACAGTCTTTATAACTCTATTCCTGTTGACACCCCTCAATACTTCTGGATTCGTCTATATATCTATATTCCTAATGTTTCCATTCGATTTATTCTTGATATTTTGAATGTCCTCACTTCTCCACGTAACACCTAGGAACAAACTTGGAATCTGATCTTTTGTTGTCCTAGTTGTAAATACTGACAGGGAACGTATTGAGTTTAATAATGTATATGATATCAATAATTAAAAAGCGGTTTTAGTTCTATTGGCCATTGCATTTCTGCGCTTGGTACTTTTCTTATATTCGTATGTCTTTGCATGTGACGTATTGGAGTTTTGGTTCCTCTTTTAACCAGTTCTGTAAATAAATTTCCCCCTCTTAAAAAACATAATCTTATAGTGTTTCAAACGTTCGTCCATATTTATTATTCTTGAATTTGTTTAAACAGCTGTTTTAATGAACGTTCTATGAAATATACTTTTTCACTAGTCTTTTTGAAAGGAGTCTCCTGATGATAGATCATCAGAAACCAAAATCCAAAATTAATGTGTGACAATTAATTAATATATGAAACAGTAATACCCGATCGAATAGCCTAGCGGGCTGGGCGGATGGCTTCTTCTTCGCTTCAATGCGAGAGATGTCAGTTCAAATCCCAGCTCGGTGTACAGAAAAACAAAAAGGCTAACGCAGCAGTTTAAAATTCTAAATGAATCTGCGGCTTAGTCTAGAATATGCTGGTATCTGATCGGCCTATGGTGGCTTAGGCCTATGGCCTAAACACTACGTTAATATTGATTATAATACGTTTAATATAATTAGGAACTTACTCGTCGGGATACGGTGGCTCTGGAAAGTCTAAACTACCACATTCATACGCCGCTAAAGTGACTTGAGCTATATGGGGTCCGAGATATAACAAAAATGTATGAAGGCCCGTACCTAAACCTACTGACGACAAAATGCCTAAAAGAAAAACAAAAAATTAATTATTCGAGTTCATTATTATCTAATAAAAATAAATATTTAAAAGTTTTCGTTGTACCGACGTGGAACTCATGACAATTATGATAAGAATTCTATACATAATCACTGGGTTCTGGTTTAGATCGAACCAGATATTGATACAGAATCATCAGTTTTTATCACAACCTAAACATCATATGAGACTACACCCTACAGGTAGGGTATGAAGAACAGAAAAAGAAAGACTTTTAGAATGCCCTTGATTGCGAGATGCTCGAGATTTTTGTAGACAAAAAGTATTTTAAAAAATTTTAATTAAAAAACCTTTCTAAAAGGTATATATTTAAATATATACCTTTTATAAAGGTTTTTTAATAAACATTTTTTATGAAAAAGACAGCAAATATTTTATTTCACGCAAACAGCGCCTTTGTATCTGTTGATACGTATTTCGACCTAATAGATCTCATCAGAACAGTTATTCAAAGGTGTTCTCAACGTGAAAGATCAATACTTTCTGTCTTTTAAGAAGCAAAACTAAAATGGCTTCGATATGGACGCAATAGCGACATCTGATAATAAATCCGTAAAATAGTTTCGAAACACAATTCATTTCATTTCAACACAAAACATTCAAAAAATTTTTAATATATGGTATACAGCCAACTACAGGAACGTAGATTCCTTATGGAAAAAGTATTTTGCCTAGAGTTTTTATATAGAGGTGATTTGAATGGACATGTTAGAGAAAGAGCGGGAATAAAAAAGTTCATGGAGTTTGGGGATTGGAATAAGAAACGATGAAGAATATATACAGTGTGATTGACTTTGCAGTGGCATGGGATTTGGCGGTGATTAATACGCTCTTTATGAAAACTCAAAACCTGTATCTTACCTATAACAGTGGGAGAAGGGAAAGTCAGATAGATTTTGTGCTGGATAAAAGAAGCCAGTTAAAAGAGCTTACCAACTATAAAGTGATAAAAGGTAAGTGTGTAGTTAGTCAAGACTGACTATGGTAGATACAGAGATAAGGGTAAGATGAAAAGGAAAGCAAGTAGGTCATTAATCATTAGAAAGTAAAGTGGTGGAAGTTTAAGGATAAAGAGTTGGCATAAGTCTTCAAGATTAGAGTACTAGAAGAGTTTGAGGAAAAAACTAAGGTAAATGACAGGTGGAAAGCCAACAGCAATGTTTTGGTACGAGTAGAAGAGGAAGTGCTCGGAAACACATCTGGTTAAGGCAAAGATAGTATAAGTACTTCGGAAAGTTGTTGAATGAAAAACACCAGAGGAGAGATAGAGATTGCGGGACTCCAAATAAGAATATAATACCCGGGATATGTATTGTAGCATATCATAAGTAGAACATATGAGGAAGAAAAGATGCCCAATGCTTGGAAGAAGAACGTGATACGACATTCAGGACTGTAAGAACTATAGAGGGCAAAGGTAATGTCGCACACAATGAAAATTTGGGACAACTGTAGAGAGGAGGTTGAGGAGAGAGATATCGATAGGAGATGAGTAGTTTGGGTTTGTGTCGAAAGAGAGACAACGGGTAGCTTGTTTGCTTTGGAACAGTTGATACATAAATACGGCGATGATCGACAAGACCAATTTTTTATCGAATATTACTCCAAGATCTTTAAAATTCTGCGTTTTTTTGGATTGATTTGGTAGTCACAGTAAAGATGCTGGTAATTTTTTTGCAAATCTCATTTGAAAATATTTACTTAGGTATATTAAATTTAAATTATTCTTTTGATACCAGTGATAAATATCACTATGATATCAACATTATGTTGATGTATTTGGCATTGAAGTAAGTTGTTATTTCTGAGACACACTTTCAGGTCATCAGTATAGAATATTATCATACATTAAGGTGCATTCAAGCCAAATCACCATATAACACAAATAGTAAGAGGCCCAAATTGGATCAATGTAAGATTCCCGAGTTTGGGGAAAAACAATCAAATTTTTGCAATAAACATAATAGGAAATCATTTCAAACAACTTGGAAAAATTGCAGAGTACAGATACAGCACAATAATGGATTTGCAGTTTACTTGAATCGCTACCTACACTGACTTCATTTTACACATAATATTAACCAAAACAACTGCAATTCTTTAGTTCTAATAAATAAAATCAATAACAATAAACACTTACCTAACCCTACCCAATATGAACACCATAACAATTTTTTATACGCCCCTTGTACCAACGCTTGGTGTGGTCCTTTGGAATTTACTAATATGTACAATAATAATACTGAGAGTGAAATCACTCCGAGGATAACTTTACTTGCTAAAATTCTGAAAATAAAAAAAAACGACATATAAAATCAGTTGAGTAACTCTCGTCTTGGCATTACATTAAAACAGTTTTATCGAAAGAGAAAAATTTCAAAATTTTATGACTTTTTCACAATTTAGCAATACATGTCTTTCTCTGTATCTTAACAATAGCTCACATGCCATAGGTCAGTTAAAAAAATATCCGTAAGGGGGCGCTTACGTCTAGGTTTGGTATTAAATCCTATTATATTATTCCTCATATTCAGATATACATTTCAATACATTTTTGCAGATTTTCAGCCATAGTTTCACGGTGTTTAATAGTTTCACAAGTTGTGAAACTAGTGAGTTAATCTTTGGTTTGAAAATTTTTGGTTTCAACATTGAGTTGAAAATTTTTTTTTATTTAATTGGATCATAATTAACCAATGCAATAACGCAAATTAAATTTTGTTTAAGCCTTATATTTTCAAAGTTTAAAATAAATTATAGTTGACAATAGTAACAAGTCACAAATACATATAAAACTAACAAAACAATGCTGTCTCACCAGGAATTCAAATCATCAATATATCCAGAGATAGGAAGTAATTTTCACAAAGTGTTACTTATTCTATTTTTAAAATTACAAATCATAAAACAGTTATAAATTATTTAATTTATATATGGGAATAATTTAGAAGACATTCTATCCTTTAGTATTTTATGTTTTTTGCCAATGCTATAATATTTTCAACAATGATTCTATGATTGGCAATGGCACTTGTTTTTATTATTTCTTCTTCTGTTAACTGAGCCCCTTTTTTAAATGGAGGTATATTTAAATGTATTCCCTTTTCCTCTAAGAGATCTGATATATCAAAATTCCTGTCCGCTTAAATAAATTCTCCTTCTTCAATAAGTCCTCAAATGCCGCCTTCTACTGTAATACTTCCTCCATAAACATCAGATCAGATACGTACATATATATATATATATATATATATATATATATATATATATATACAGTCAAAATCGTTTATAACGAACTTCAGGGGATTGGTGCTTTTTGTACGTTGTAGCCAGTGTTCTCTGTAAGCAGTTCTATCGGTTATAATGAACAGGTTGCTATAAACGATATTACACTAATAGGGACAGTTAGTTCGTTGTACCTAGGGTTATGACGCAAAAATGTGTTACTTTAACTATACTTATAATATGTTATAATAACATATACATAACATTTAACATATGTGTTTATTGTACTTAAGCAAATCTAAATATGTACATACATATATGTATAATATGTATTGAAATAAGTATAAGTAGTGAATAAAGTCTACACATAATATAAACATATACTATTTATTTTAAAAAGACAAAAAAAAATACATACATATATGTATTACAAAATATGTAAACACATTTTACCTGAATATTTAATGAAAAAAGTCTGTAATTTTTGTTTGTCGCCTTCCTTGAACTTCTGAAAAAAAACATTTTTTCAATTGATGTAGAAACAATCGATAATGATTCTTTTACACTCTGGGAAGTTTCAGCAGTCTGAATAAATGCTCGTATGGTGGAACAAGCAGCATACGCTTCAGCAACAGTAGGGATTTTGCCGAAATCTTCCAATTCTTCATCAGCCTCATCAGTACTTTGTCACTAGTGTGGTGACTCAGTACGATGTCAATATCTGAGAGTTCTTCGCTCGTACTTATTTCGTCATCCACTCGTACATAGTCATCTGCAGAGCAGTCAGAACTGAAAAGGAAAATGGCATCCTGTAAATGCGTTTGTGCAATATCGTTGTATGCAATTTCTGATGGTTGTAAGTCTTTAGTTAGGCCGGAAAAACGAAAACAGTTGATGATCGTTTCCTTCCGCACAGATTCCCATGCCTTTGATATCATTAGTACAGCGCCAAGAATACTGACTTTCGTATCGTCGTTATTCTCTCTCTTTTCGATGATTTTGTACACCAATTCTTTCCGAAAGCATGCTTTAAGACTTCTTATAACTCCTTGGTCCATGGGCTGCAGTACAGACGTACAATTTGGAGGCAGAAAAACGAGTTTAATTTGTTTTAACCTGTCAACTGGGGGGTGGGACGGACAGTTGTCGACAATTAAAATTATGTGTTTCTTTTGTTGTAAAAGTTCACTGTCCCATTTTAGTAAAGTCTTTTCAAAAATAGCTGACGTCATCCAGGCTTTTTTAGTGAAATCATAATCAACAGGGAGATTTTTCACGTTTTTAAAACAGCGCGGCATTTTACTTTTTCCTATCACCAAAAGCTTCCTTTTTATGGAACCGGGCATGTTGGCTGCAACAAGAACTGTAACACGCTCTTTTGAGAGTTTACCACTGGAACATTTCTCGCCTTTAAACTTTAACGTGTGATCAGGTGTCAGTTTAAAAAATAACCCCATCTCATCAGCATTAAAAATTTCATCATCGCTATAGTCGGACCTGAGTGTAGGCCACACATTTTCAACCCAGGCATTTATAATTGATCTGTCAACAACTGCTGACTCACCTGAAATTTTTCCATGGACAATATTGTGGCGAGCTCGAAAACGTTGAACCCAGGAAGCATTACACTTAAAATTCTTCTTCAAAATCACAGCGAAAGCATCAGCCTTTACCTGAAGCATCGGCCCACTCACGGGTACATTGTTTGTGCGTTGTTGTTTAAACCAATCGAGCAAAGCACTTTCAATGCCATTGTAATTTGATGACCGAACGCGTTTTCCTTTTTCACACTTATTAAATTGCTTAATAATTTTCTCTCGCCTTTTCATTATTCCAGCAATTGTCGAGCGTGGCGGTTTAAATTCCCGGGCAATCGAACTCGCGGAATCACCGGAATCGACTCGGCAAATTATTCCAAACTGTTCCTCAATAGTAAATTGTTTCCGTGACATTTTTTCAATGAAGGCTAGACATAACTGAATTCAAATTCAGAAACTCTTGGCTTAGGCCAAATGGTAAAATATGTATAAACAAAATTTTGTAATACAATGGACCCGTCTTGGGAGGTCTAACTGTCTTAAGGACGTCCGGATGTACTATAACCATAAATTAATAAATCCTTACTTCTCATTTCGTGGTATTAAATATCGGTAATACCTGTGAGAAATACAACACTACAATGTCCATTTTCATAACTTTACAGGATAGCATTTTTAAACTTCTTTATTAAGATGTACGCTGTAACCAATATTTTAACTACTAGTGTTCCAAGAAATACATTTGCTCTAACCGATTTGTTCATTATAAGCAATATAAATGTGTTTTTTGTATGTCATTTTATGGGACCTACTATTTTGTTTGTTATATCCGATTGTACGTTATAGCCGGTGTCGTTGTAAACGATTTTGACTGTATATATATATATATATATATATATATTATATATATATATATATAAATATATATATATATATATATATATATACTTCATCTAATTTAGATAACGACTTACGTCATTATCTACGTCAGAGATCGAAGTTAACATAGTTGCCAAAGTATAAAAAAATCCTGACTCCATTTTAAATCAAATAGGTCACATAATTATTGCAAAAGTATTACCATCTCTTTACAACGACTATTTAAATTCTTACGTGACATTTTTGAAATAAAACACACTAATTTTGTTCTAAAAAGAACAGATTTTATTAAATAGGTAAAAATATAAAACAAGAGGTATTCACTTTAAAATTCAAAATAATAAAGTACAAAAAGTGTCAACACCGCAACTGTCAAATAAGTGTTACCAATGTATGCCAAAATTTTACCTTCGTTAGATTACAGTTACAGTGTGTTCCGAACAAATGTTCTTGATAAAAACTCTTTATAATGGATTTATACAAATTAAATGAAACATATTATTGTGTCTTTCTTTAAGTTAACATTAATAGAAATTTTTAAATATTATTTCTACGCGTATATAATAAATATGTCTAGTGGCTGTAATGCCAGTGTACTCGGTAAAGTGATTCTAAAAAGAACACACCTAAACCCTAAATATTTCTTGTTTACTATTAATATTGCTATGAGTACGTGTGTTTGGTTGTATAGTAATTTCCAGCCACTTTTAGTCTGTCAAAATGTAATTAACTTCGCAAAAAAAATAATCACTAAATTCACTAGACAGTTCAGACTGATAATAGCGAACCGAGTTTATCTATCTCGTTTCCTAATGTTGGAACTACTCGTTACAGTAATCGTTTCTTTATCGGTGCAATTAAACTGTTTTTTTTTATAGTAGTTAACAAATCGATGTATATGTATGTAAAAACATTAAACCAGTCCATTTATATAAATCGAGTAATATATTGTTTGCTTTGTTCGAAGCAAATGTTATTTATATATGAAAATGCTTTTATATTTCAAGGTCATCTTCCTTTTTGTTCAATTTATTTCGTCCAACGTGTCTTTAACCCTAGAATACTATCCTATTTTTACCTTCATTTACAGAAACCATCGTAAAATTTACTACGATGAGAAAAAAATGTGGTCGCTGAGAAAGTATTTTATGTAGCTTAATTTTATAAATTATTTTGAACAAGATGTTTCTAAAACATAAAAATCACAAAAATATTTATAAACTCCATATTTTAGAACTACACGGCTGACAACAAAGAGGGGGATGTTCGCAACAGTCTGTGTTTATACGTCTATGTTTCGCAATGATGGGTTGTCATTCGACGTTTTCTAGACGGATAAAATGGACACATGGCACGTTTTAAAACAGTAGGGCATATTAGTTTTTGAAAATTACGATGGATTGTAGAGTTAATAAGTGAATTCCTTCATTTTAGTACCTCTTTATTTGACAAATAAGTCTTTCAGGTGCAAATTTCCTAGGATTTTCAAATAGATGAACCTTCCGTAAAGTTTTTTCGGAGACAATATAGATGTCTTTCGCTTGTCAGTGAGAAAAGAAATAAATTTATGTAAAAATATCGCTCGCTTGTCATAACTGTACATACAGTGTGATTTGGGGACTGGAGAATGATGTTTTAAAAGGGATTCTGGTCCATTTTTTTTAAATAACTACACCTATGCCCAACAGTTAACAGAATTAATGATAAAAATAATTCAAAGAATTATACAAATTTTCACTTACTTCTTTCCGTAAATAGTGGCTAACTCTATACATTCTCTAATAAAATATTCTACAGTCCTAAGCGGCTTCCTCCACAATACCAAAGATTCCCGCTCATTTTTCTCTTTTTCTTTCTTTTGTATGTCGATGTGCTTTTTGTTTTTGGCTTGTGTCGTCGAACCTCCGTTCATATGGTGGTTCCCCGTTGCGTCCTTCTTCTTTCCATGGCCAGCCATAGTTTTTCCTAACCTTTGCAACTGAAAAAGAAAAGAGTTCTCGTGAATTTAATGTAAATAAATTAATTTTTTTACCATTAAAAACATGCTAATTGTGCTTCATTTTATTTCGAATTTAGTTGAGTTGGATTACGTTGTGCTGAACGGTTAAAATGGGTTTTTCAAGTTTCTTAAGTGTTTTAAACTTTGAAATGAACCACCAGCAGCAAGAAAATCGAAATTTGTCAGAAAGTAACTGTTTTAGAATCGTTACTCTTTACTAACTACTTTACTTTAATGTCACCCAGTCAACCCTTTCAAGAGTGTTAACACGTTTTTCTGTTACTGGAAGTAACTGGAGAAGATCCGGTCAAGGCCGTAGAAAGGTTACAACTCCTAATCAAGACCGGTTTGTGACACTTCGTACACTGAGACAAAGGTTTGTTACCATTACTTCTCTACAAAATGAATTTTTGGATCGTTATAACTTTAGAATCAGCCAAAATACGATTGGAAGAAGACTTGCCGAAAACGACCTAGACCCTGGAAGGGCACCAATTGGCCCATTATTGACCAGAGACCATAGAAGGCAAAGATTGCATTTTGCTCGTGAACATGTTGATTGGAATAATGACGATTGGGGAAGAATATTGTTCACCGATGAATCCATGTACTGTCATTTTTCTGATGACAGGAGAAATCGAGTGTATAGAAGGCCTGGGCACAGAATAATAAACAATCAGAATGCCCACTCTCCATGGAAAATTAAGTACGCGCATCTCGTTCGCGCAGACGTTCCGCCATGTTTTAGAGGGAACCAGTGTTGTTTATGTGGTGTGCATAGAAAAATTAACCCGGTTTAATTGACTTACAGCGATCATAGACATACTATACAATTATATTAACATTGTTAAATATAATAACATAAATATAATATAATTAAACATAAATATCCAGACGTCTCCAGAAAAACAAAATGCCAAATATACAAAACCTTAATAAGACCGGTACTCACATACGGTTCAGAAACCTGGACACTCTCTAAAAGGGAGGAAACGTTATTGGCCACCTTTGAAAGAAAAATCTTGCGACACATATATAAGGGCACAAAGGAAAACGGGATTTGGCGGAGAAGGTATAACTTTGAACTATACAACATATACCAGGATCCGGATATCATAACATTCATTAAAATAGGAAGGCTACGTTGGATTGGACATGTGGAAAGAATGGAAGAAGGCGAAATACCAAACAAAATATTCAAACAAGTGCCAGTAGGAAAAAGAACAAGAGGAAGACCGAAGTTGAGATACGTAGAACAAATAGAAAATGATATAACAACATTAAAAATTAAAAACTGAAAAAAAAGCACGAAACAGGTCAGAATGGAGAAGAATCCTTGAACAGGCCAAGACCCAGAAAGGGTTGTCGAGCCAGTGATGATGATGATGAAACATAAATATAAACAATTACACAACCTCACAAATCATATGTCTGTGTTATGTTTAATTCTAAAACATGGCGCGCGTGCTGAAAAGCTTCAAAGGCGGCATCTGAGGGTGGGCATTCTGATTGTTTATTATTCTGTGGCCTGGCTGGGGAACGCTACGCACAGTGTAACACCGTAGGGACTGTACAGTATAGCGGCGGCTCGGAATGGTGTGGGGTGGGATTAATTTAGAGGCTCGTATGGAATTAGTTAGAATAGATCGCGGTCGGCTTACATCGCAGAGGTATATAACAGACATTTTAGAAGAGCATGTCGTGCCATTTGCACCTTTTATTGGGATAATTTTATGCTTATGCAAGATAATGCCATGCCACACACGGCAAGATTTGTGCAGCGGTATCGTCAGGAGGTTGGAATTCCTGCCATGTATTGGACCTGCGAGAAGTCCTGACCTCAACCCAATAGAACATGTTTGGGACATCGTAGGCAGACGACTACGACAACTACCTAATGCACCAAACCCATTAGATGAACTGTTTTTGCGGTTGGTTGAAATTTGGGATCAAATTGTTCAAAAGAAATCAGAACGATTATTCTCAGTATGAGAGATCGTTGTCAAGGAGTAATAAATACCAGAGGAGGCAATACTCGATACTAGTACACGGTACTAGTATTTTCTTCAACTTTAAAAATTTTAATTACGTCATTAATTTATAATGTCAATTTGTTTGATATGTTTAGATTTATGATGTTATATTGTTAATTTCAATACATTGTTTGTAAAAAAGAAAAGTTTTTTATTTAAGATGTTCTAAAACAACCATAAAGCAGAAAAGAACAAACAAATTTTTTTTTTCATTACAACTCAAAATAAGAATTTTAAAATTATGCGTTAATTTTGGAGCGCAGTGTATTTACTTCACTATAAAAGTGACGCGTGTTTTACTTCATTGTCTATTTATGACATTATAACATTTTTATAATGAACATTATGATCCTATTAAGCAAAAAAATTTACTTTTTTACAACGAGTTACAACTTGTTTACAATGACCAACGCATACACAGATATTCTTGCGCTATATTCAAAGATTGTTCACCGCAATCAGTGCCATTATCTCAAGAAATTAAAATCATATTTTTCGCCTTTAATTGGTTTCTCAAATTAGTTTTATTATCTAATGTTAATAAATATTTACAAGTAATAAAGCTACGTCATTTTCTTTGACTACTTTATTTATATATTATATACAGATTAGTTGGTAATTTGAACAATAATGTATAGACGTCACAAATTATCCGTAACTATAAATTCACGAATGATTTGGGTTTCAACAAAATTGTAAGCCCATTAATAATAAATTAGAAAATTAGAAAACTCGTAGCAAAAAGAATAATTGATGTTAATTGGGCTTAAAGCAAAACGTTTTATATAAGAGTATAATGTAACTGTTTGTATGGGAAACAAATCCGTTACTTCTACTATTGTCTTACCTATTAAACCTACCTAGGACTTCAGATAAATATTTCAAAACGAAAATTAGCCAAATCGATTCATTATAAACTCACTCTCGATTTATTATAAAAACAGTTATAAGCACATAAAATGACGTTTGGTAAATGTCATTCTGTTTTATAACTGCATGGATCAAATAAACTAAAACTGTAGAGTTGAAGTAGGGACTAAGACGGAGAAAGAAAGGAAATCTAACTGATTCTGACGAAACATCATCTTGGACAAACAGGGTAAAATAAGGTGAAAAGAGAAACTGGTGCAAAGGTGCAAAATATAGATTGCTATATAGGCGATAGGAAAAATAATTTTAATGATAAGTATTAATCTACAACAATACACACCCTATGGAAATACAAAATTATAGTCTAACTACCAAAATAACTACTTAAAGACTTGAGAATCAATATCTCGAATAACAATCTCAGAAAGAAACAAAAAGACACTGAAAATAATACTAATGTAGAGATAAATTTAATTATCTTCTTATTCTTATGGATATTTAATATTTATAAGAAAGTGAAAGAAATAACAGTTACATACACAAAAAACAAGGAGTAATGTTAAGAAATAATAATAACGAAATAATTATATGTACAGAAAACCAACAGGAGAGATGGAGAGAATACATTCAGACACTTTTTGACGACGATAAACCTTGTGTTCTACCATTCAGATGATTGATAAATGAAAAAGGTCCAGCAATAACCAAAGAAACAGTTATTCATGCAGTAAAAGCTCAGATAAATGGGAGAGCCACCGGTCCAGACAACATTAATGTCGAAGTACTTAAATTAATTGAAAATACAATACTTGGGCCGTGTGTTGAGAGGTGAAAGCTATTAATGACTCCAAATCATATTGGAAGTTAAAGTACAGGCAAAAGATCAGTTGGAAGACGCTAGAACTTGTGGCTGAAAGATCTGAGGAAATGGTTTAACCGCTCACCCGCAGAAATTTTTGTGCAGCAATTTCCAAAGCTACAATTGCCATTTGACTCGTCCAGCTTCGGAACAAGACGGCGCATTAAGTAAAAGAAGAATAAATGAAAAGAATGCTACAGACACTATAGAATTTAACTTAATCTAATTTTGTGTGGATTATAGATAGGCCCTTGTAGTGCACACGTAGTTTAAGTATTTATTTAAGAATTGTCAAATAATTAATTTTAAGATGGCTAAAGCTCCAGCTGTAGGTATCGATTTAGGAACAACCTAGTCCTGTGTATGAGTTTTCCAACATAACAAAGTTCAAATAAACAATTTTGAACCATAAATTTCCACACCATCATATGTGGCCTTCGCAGACATATAACGTCTCATTGGAGATGCTGCCAAGAATCAGGTAGCCATAACACAATAACCCCAATAACACAATTTTTGATACTAAACGTCTTATTGGGCGTCGCTTTGATGACAGTGCCATACAGTCCTTCTGAGAGAAATCCTTCTATCCAGAAGAAGTCTTACTTAGGAAAAAATGTCACCAATGCTATCATCACAGTACCTGCTTATTTCAATGACTTACAACGTCAAGCTACCAAAGATGCTGGAACCATTAATGGACTTCACGTTCTACGTATTATTAATGAGCCCACCGATGCTGCCATTGCCTATGGTTTAGACAAAAAGGGTCAAGGTGAAAGAAATGTCCTTATTTTCGATCTTTGTGGTGGTACTTTTGATGTATCAATCTTAACAATTGAAGATAGTATCTTTGAAGTTAAATCAACTGCTGGAGATACTCATATAGGAGGTGAAGACTGCGACAACAGAATGGTCAATCGCCTTGTTGGAGAATTCAAGACGAAATACAAGAAAGATCTTACCACAAACGAACGTCCCTCCGTCGATTGAGAACAAGCTGTGAAAGAGCGAAGAGAAATCTTTCGTCATCGAATCAAGCTAGCATTGAAATCGATTCCAGTTGACGAATAAACCTGAAGGATGATGATAATTATCATTATATCAATTATAAAAATCAATAACGGCTATTATTATCACTCATTTTTACCACCTCCAAGACATAGTTTTTAAATGATCATAGACACATTGCAAGGTAGAGTACATTGTTCAATACTTAGTTTTAACTAACACAAAAATGTATAAACCTTATATGAAAAAAATTTAGACCAAAAATATACAGTATTTTCATTTCCTAGTTGTAAAAACTTACAGAAAAGTCCTTGTAACACAAATTTCACACACAAATTAGAACAACTATTCTTAAATATAATAAGAACTGTTCTTAACAAAAACGAAACAAAAAAATCATCAAGAAACGCGAAAATACACAAATTAACACGATAAAATTAACATTTATGTTGATTACGACTCACCTCGCGACACTACTAAATTATTTTTAATTCAACAGTTTCTTAAATTCATTACGCGAGCCGATAATTATGACTACAAACGATAATGCTTCCTTGAAAATAGATACAAATTTAAATGTTGGCCCGATATCAAATTCTATCGAAATATTGAGACAGGCTAGACAAAACTTAGGTGGTTATTAAGAGAAAAAACGAAAAAAGAATGTTTTATTGTACAGGGTCATCCAATAAATTGGTTACGACTTCATAATCAAAGGTGTCTTGAGAGTTCAAAAAATATAGAGGTTTTGAGATCGGCTAGGTGTTATGTATCTGCTGTTTACGTATGTACATTTACCACTGGAACCACATATATTAAATAATTGTACGAAAATTGTAAATTTGGAAAAATTGTCTGAAGAACTATTCAACAAAGTTCCAGAAGAGTCGCGTATCCCAGTTGGTTATATTGTTAATATGAGTACTCCAACTAAGTTTAGAATCCAGGGTTACCTCTAGATAGTTTACCTCATTGGTTCTTTCTAGTTCTTTTTCAAAGAATTTCAACTCACTCAATCCAATCGAAAAACTTCACCTTGTTGGACTGCCCACAACTTTCGTTAAATTAATAAATTCCTATCTCTCCAATCGGACTATCCGGATCAAAGTTGACAACACTTTATCCTCACATAACAGTGACATCCCCCTTAGTATAGATCGGAAACCCTACTGCTGTATGCTGACGACACTACGCTCCACATTGAGTGCGTGGACACATGTCTGTATTCGAAAGAGCTCAAAACTACCTAGACCGAGTTATTAAGTGGTGCAATAGATAGAGAGTGCAGAGAGTTAGAATAACGATTCCAAAACCCAATTAATACTATTTAAATCTCCCCACTGCCTTGATGTTCAGGGCCGAATCACCCTTCTAGGAAAAAACCTTAATCTCAGAAACTCGGTTTCCTATTTAGGAGTTCATTTTAGTAGGACTCTCAACTGGAAAACCGACATACAAAACACCCTAGACAGGGTAAGAAAAAGGACTAAACTCCTGGCAGCGCTGTCCGGTAAAATGGGCAATACTTCAAATAAAACACTTGCACACCTATAAAACCTACATAATACCGATAATCGAATACAAGGCATGCGTCTACGAATCACTTAACACCCACCAAGTGAACACTAGCATGGCCACTGAAAGAAAAATTCTAAGATTCTGCACGAGGCAGTGCAGAGACTACTCGTCAGCACTCACACACCAAGTAGCCAATATAACATCAATTAAGGACAGAATCCTGACCTTATCAAGAACAAGAATCATAGGAGATTTCACCACAACAAAAGGGCTTCTACAGGGTTGTTCCACCTCCAACTCTATTCAAAATATACTTGAAAAAGCCTTGACTGCATGGAGAAGAAAATGCGAAGGCATGGGAGTACCGGTACGAAACGAATACATACGTCCGTTAAGCTTTGCAGACGATCAAGTAGTGATTGCACAAAACCAAGAAGACCTCAGTTACATGATGAAGAAACTACAAGAAGAATATACCAATGCTGGCCTAGTTTTTTTTTTCTGGTAGCACTACTACCCGGGGTGGGTCTTGGCTGACTGCACAACCTGCTTCCATCTCGAACGGTCGTCCATGATGTTTAAGTCAGTGGGTAGCCCCATTGTTCTCAAATCTGACCATATATTATCTCTCCATCGCATTCGTGGACGTCCTAAGGGCCTTCTCCCTGTCGGGACTTCTTCCCAGATTAACTTGGTAAGGCGGTTATTAGGGAGCCTATGAACATGGCTAGCCCATCTTAGACGTTGGGATTTAATCTCTTGGACTACGTCGCTAGCACTATACATTTGTTTGACCTCGGCATTTGTTCTCATTCGGTATTGGTTAGTATTGGGATCGTGATAGGGACCGAAGATCTTTCTGAGGATTTTTCTCTCAAAGCATCTGAGTTTACTTTCCATTGCTTGCCACGTCTCACACCTTTACATGAGCACCGGTCTAATTACTGTTTTATATATCCTGATTTTTGATGTTCGTGTTAGGCTCTTGGATTTAATAGTGTTGTGGAGGCTATACATACATCTGTTTGCTGCCTGAATTCTCCCTTTTATCTCTTCCGTGATATCGTTATCTGTGGTGATAGTCGCTCCGAGATATTTAAAACTCTCCACTCTTTCAAAGTTATAGGGGTCTATTGTTACATTTTGTCCTATTCTATTTCGCCTCTTTTGTCTGTTAATGCACATATATTTGGTTTTCTCTTCATTGACCCTTAGACCGGTATTTTTTGCCTCTCTCTCTAATTTATTGGAAGGTTTCTTTTACATTGGTGACGGTATTTCCTACAATGTCAATGTCATCCGCGTATGCTAGTAGGCCTAGATATTAACCTCGTGAAAACAGAGTACTTATCTACAAGTGAAGAAGACATAGAAGATCTACAGATTGGCAACAACGTAACAATCAAAGGAAAGGATAAATTCAAATATTTGAGGTTTATAATAACGAAAAAGGCAACAACAGAGGAAGAAATTAAGCAAAGATTAGGACAAAGAAGAACAGCAATCCGACAACTTAACTCAGTATGGTGGGATAGACACCTAAATATGAAGACAAAAACACAAGATTTATAAAACGTTAGTCCGAAGTATTATGACACATCGGGCTAAACATTGGATTATAAACAAGAAAAACAGCAGTAAGAAGTAGCAACAGTGATGGAATGCCTACGAAGATGCTGCAGAATAACAAGAATGGATAAGAGAAGTAATGACGAAATAAAGCAAAGAACATCAATAGAAACAGACATACTAACAGATATAGAACAAAAAAAGACTAAAAGTGTTATGGATATGTAAGAAGAACTAGCGACAGCAGATGGATAATGATAATAACCGAATGGAGCCTATAGGAAGGACGAATAGAGGACGACTCCGAAGATCCTGGAGGAACGAATGGGTTCAAATGAGTCAATGGTATTACATAGAGGACGACTTAATTTTAGACAATACTTAAAAAACAAAAAGAACAAAATGGTTTGATTTTAAAATTTTTAGTTTATTCTGGAATGTTAACGATTCAGGTGGAAAGAGACATGCCAATAAAGTGATTTTGCACCTTTTAGAAGGGAAAACTACATGTAGGTCATTGCGTTTACATGAACAGATCGCCAGTTAACGTGTTAATAGTGAAGTCGTCAAAAATTTGATCTCTAAAAACGAGACAAATCAGCTGAATTTTATTGAGAATGTCAATTTTGTGACCCCAAAAAGATGCAAAAAAGTTTACCACTCCTACTCCTACAATTTTAAATAAAATTTGTATCAGCTCGACGGTAAAAATTCGATATGTTTTGATCAGAGTGTCCTATACATCAAAATTAAAATGGATTTTAAAGGTTAAGAGTGCAGCTTTCATATGCAATTGTTACATTTTACCGCAAATGAAGTAAGTTTTTATAAAGGTGGTAAATAAACAATTGATGAATTCGACCGTTACTTGATGGAAATTCATTTTATGTAACGATAAAACACCGAAAACTTTGTTTTCAAGTTTCCTCAAAAATTTATTTTAACTCTTATCACTACAGCTGTTTCGGCTGATTGCCTTTCTCAAGTGACCTATTTTTGGCATGCGTTTACACTTTATAGTCTCTAATGAAATAGGTTGAGGAGGGGAGAAACTGTTTGTCTCAAGTTGGTCATTCAGAATTATATCTGTGTTTTTTAATTTGTTGATTTCCATAGATTCTAACAAGGATAGCTTAAGGCCTTTATTTTGAATGTGAAGAATTTTAAATTCGTCGTTAAAAGAATGATTGATGATCTAGAAGGTGAAGTGCGTATGTAGAATCTGTTTTTCTATTATTGAAAGCCCTTTTATGTTCTGCCATTCGTTTATTAAAGTTTCTACCAGTTTGACCGATGTAAGTTTTTGGGCAGTCGCCACATTGAAGTTTGTACACACCATATTTAAGTGTTTTTTATTTTGGCTCTTGTTATTTTTAATATATTTGCCTAGATTGGTATTTGTTCGGAAAGCTGGTGTTATTCCTTTCTTTTTTATGTGTTTGGCTATTTTTGCCAAACATTTGTATATGTTGTTATTTTGCCTGTATATGTAATCGAGCAGAAAGTACTGGGTTTTTTCTCTGGTGGTGGAAATACTAATTTCAGGGCTTTCTTGTGTAGTTTTTGATTTAACATTTTATTAATTGTTTGTTCGTTGTATCCGTTGTTTACTGTTATTTGCTTAATTATATTTAATTCTGTCTCAAAGTTGTATTTTGACATCGGAATTTCTGTTAATCTATGTAACATACTATGATATGCTGCCAGTTTATGCTGTGTTGGATGGGATGATGAATTGTGTATAGTCGTGTCAGTATGTGTAGGTTTATGAAATATGGAGAAGTCATGTTTGTTTTAAGTCTGATAATTTTTATATCTAAAAAAATTTATGGATTGATTTTGTTATGTTTCTATAGTAAATTCAATATGACTATGAAGTGAATTAATATAGGATA